GTTTCTGATTGTGGTGACATAAAGAAGTTATTCTCAGGTAGGTGGTTGGGGTATCTCCAGAATCTACAAACTATTGATGTTCATTGTTGTGGGAACATAGAGGAGTTAATAGTGCCTAAATATGAAGGAGGAGAAAAAGTCATGGTGTTTCTGGAAAGAGAAGCAGTTGATAAGTCAGCATCACTACCAGCTGGCACATTTTCCTCAATTCAAGGTATTAGTGTTTCTGATTGTGGTGACATAAAAAAGTTATTCTCAGGTAGGTGGTTGGGGTATCTCCAGAATCTACAAACTATTGATGTTCATTGTTGTGGGAACATAGAGGAGTTAATAGGGTCTGAATCTGAAGAAGGAGAAAAAGGCAAGGTGTTTGGGGAAAGAGGAGCCGTTGCTGAGTCAGCATCGCTACCAGCTGGCACATTTTCCTCTATTCAACGTGTTCGTGTTTCTAATTATGGTCACATAGAGAAGTTAATTCTCATATAGGTGGTTGGGGTATCTCCAGAATCTATAAACTATTGATGTTCGTTATTGTGGGGAAATAAAGGAGTTAATAGGGTCTGAATCTGAAGAAGGAGAAAAAGTCACTCTAATGCAAAAGACATCCTTTTACACTTTTGTGAATTTCAGGAGATGTTGGAATTGGGCGCACCGCAAATGTAAGCCTTTTAATCTTCAATTTTCCATATCTGATTCATCTCAGTAAGAGTTTTCATCTTTATGCTTTCTTTTTCCATTCTTTCTATCTTAATAAATCTCTCTCTCATCTACTCTTTTCTCCTCCATTGGCAGCAAAATTGAAATTCGGCTCTTGAACCACAAGAAAGTCAGGGGAAATCAGATTTGCACCTCTTGCTGTAGCTGTTGGGTTTTCAATTTAATATAGACTTGCTATTCTTTGTCTTTCTTCTGGTGTGTCTATGTTGTGTGTTTAAATATGTCAAATTTTAAGTGGAAAACTGGAAATATTTGTATCTTTATTATCTATGTAATTGTTGTCTTTGAAATTATGTACAAACAAGACTTGAAATTAATTAGGACTTTGCTATATATATTTTACTGCACATGCATCTATGCTTTTCTCGTAATATGCATTTTAGTTGGTTGCATTTGCATGTCTCTTCTCAAACTTCATTCAACATCATCGTCATCAACAACAACCAAGACTTAATTTCATCAACTATATCTACACGCTTGTTACTTTATCTTCTCAGAATTGCCAGGGAACTAGCATTCAGGTCAGCGTACACTCCTCTTCTTTTCTTTTGCCTTTTTTTAATAAATTATCTTATTGTATTTTCTAATTGCATGATCTGAATACGTCTCATTAGCTAAACTCTACTGGTTAAACACTGTTATTTCAAAAGAGAATTACTTAATTTCCATCCTTGGATGTTAGTGGTTTAACATTCATCTGTGGGCAGTTTGATGTTGGTGTCGTGCTAGAAAAGCATGCTGGTGATGAGGAGCTACTAGATCACTACTTAACAAAAGGCATTGCTCCAATGCATCATATTTGACACCTAATCCCATGTTGCAATCTTCACTCTTAAGAGCAGAGAGAATTTTCTTGTGACATGTTAAATAATAAGTAGTTATGTGGGAAAAAAGGGTTCTTATGAGCGTGTTTCTTTTTAGTCAAGCATATTGGTGAAGGCACTATATATACCAAAGACATGGTAAGACCTGTTTGCTTTAAAATAATCACTATTCACTATTTGAAGGTGTTGGCATCAACAAGAGCTCAAATTTTTCTACGAAGAGCTCAAAAATTATAATGTTACTTTAGAGGAGCAGAAACTACCTTTCTCCCTCTTAATTGACCCTAGAAAGGTATGAAATTTATATCTTTGGGCACAATTTTGTCAATTGAAACAACAAGTGATTACTCTGCCTTCGAGATGAAATTCTGCTTCAGTTCGACCATCTTTCTTGTATTTTATTTCAATAATTTATTTGAGTCTTACCTATCTATCAGATTATATAATTCCACAGCTTTAGTGAAGTTGCCCAATATAGTTTTGCCAGTGCACAAGAATCTGACTTCTCAAGTTACATTTTTTTTTTTTTTTTTGGTACAAGAGGAGAGCACTATATGTCTAGATAATTATGATTTGCTTCCAGAATACTTGCCTGGTAGAGTTCAAGTGTTGTTGAAACGTTTTGCTGTTCCAACTTCTTTTAACTAATTTTTATTTGGTACATCTCTGAAGCAAGGTAGAGTTCATCTTCTTCAACACCATGCCAAGTGCCAATGGTCAGAGTTATTGTCCAAATTATATGTCAATGCAGAGAGGGATACGACATTACTTTGTAGTGCTTGTCTCTTTGGTAGGTTTGTTGCTTCAATCCTTCAACTTCTAGGTCTGTAAAACTGCTTTCGCTCTTAGGGATTTCCCTTTCTCTTATATTTTACTTTAAGATTTGATGTAGATTTCTCTAAATTTATCACATTTTCCATTTGATTAAAGAGACTGCATTGTTACCTTTTATTATCTGTTTTGATGCCACCATTGTCAATGGTTTGTTTGGTTGCTGAGAAGATTGGAGAAAACCGAGTTTTTGAGAGTTTTTTTCCTTTAATTCTTTACTTAATTGAGTAGGATCAATGAAAATCTTAATTTTCCTTTGCATACTAATTGGAAAGGATTTTATATAAAGCTGTTGTCTAAAGTGTTCCAAATTTGTCCTAGAATTGTGAATTCCATATGGTCAAGTCAGATTAATTCTCGTGTTGAAGAATGTGAACATGCTCTTCTAATTTCTAATCCTCCTTCTGCAGATCTAGGCTTAAAACTTGCTTTTGCATGCGGAGGATTATTATTAGTAAGATAGTCTTAATTACATCTAAGCAAAAAGGATAGGTTGGATTCTAAACCTAATTCTAATTTGATTTCATGTTGAATTGTTGGTTATGTGCATTATATTTTTACAGTGATGGTATAGTTTACCTGTGGTATTGATACAGTATATGACGGAACTCAAATGGAAACATTCAAATATCTATCTAATTTATGGGCTAAATATATTTATCTATATTTAACAAATTAATCAGTACTGCATCAAGATACTTGTTGGAAACAAAGTTGACCACCAATACTGTTTGTTTCCAGGTTTCATTTTGCTCCAGTTAGCAATTTAATCTCGAGTTCAGCTGATACTTTCTAATGGGCTGCTCTGATGTTATGGAAAATTATTCTTGAGCGTTATTTAAAGATGGAATTTAATGTTACCACTCACATTGGTGATCTTAATAGGAAAGTGAAAGGGTTATGTCCAGAAAGCAGAGTATTTGACTGTGCTCGGGATTATGGATGCCTTTTTATAGGGTGCAATACAAAAACTGGAGTAAATGTTAGAAAATGCTTTTTGACGAGCTTGTCTTAAAGGTACTACAATCCTAGTACTTTATTACGTATTCCCCCTTGAGACAAGCTTATTTGTTGTTTTGATGCAAAAGAAGTATGGAAGCTTACTAGATATTTAGTGGTTTATATATTCTAATGTAGTCATGCTTTGATTTCTCTAAAAACAGGTTGACCATGCATTGATGATTTCTGTTATGTAAACTAGTGGTTTTTGACTTGAGACTTTTTCCTCATAAGTTCAACTCTGTTTATAAATTTGCTGATATAGGCACGAACATGATTGTATGCCTCAAATAGGATCTGATTTAAAGTATACCTCTTTTTAAGTTCACTCTTTTAAAAAATTTGATAATAGAACTGTGAATTTTGTCATGCGTAATTTATAAGACTTTTCAAAATAAACTTGATAAAAAGATAATATTTTAGGTAAATCAAGAAAATTTGATAGTAGAACTGTGAATTTTGTCATGCATAGTCTGTAAGACTTTTCAAAATAAGCTTGATAAAAAGATAATATTTTAGGTAAATCAAGAAAAACAGACGCCAACCGTGGGGCTCGAACGCAAGACCACGAGGTTAAGAGCCTTACGCTCTACCCACTGAGCTAGCCGGGCCTCTTGCCTCGAAAATTTCATATCATTATAACACAACCCGGCGTGGCACCTACGACCCCGCGCAAAACACCAGAGAAACTTTTAGCAGGTAATGAGCTTAATTACAGTGAAGAGCCTCATGATCAACATTATGGCATCATGTATCATTCTCATTTGAGTGCAGTACTGTAGCTAGAAAAATATTTTATGAACTTCTGAAAGAAAGTGGTTACTGAAAAGCCCGCTTGACACACCGAAAACAAAATTTACAGCTTAAAAGGCGCAACCGGTCAAGACTTCCCCTAGGAAACGACAAATATGCTGAGACACTGCTCCCATCCCCAGGGCAAAGTATTGGTTTGAACATCTGGTGAAGCAGAGAGACTAGGGCAAAAATTGTCTGCATCTTCACTCAAGTTTACTCCAGAACGCAACTCTGCTAACATCATGAGCTAGTTGTGGCTGAAAATCACACCAGATGGAAGTTGCAGCAAGCAAAATGCAAGCAGTATGCCTTCTTTTCCTCTTGAAAACCAAACTACAATTCAACTCTGTGTCTTTGGGATAGTGTATCTTCATTTCCCAGTGAAAAGAGCCAACGAAACAGTAGTATTAACTTACTGGTTGCAGGCTTCTGCTCTGGCTGCTCCAGCTTTGCTTTACACAGTGCATTATAGTCATGCTTCATGTGAGGAACAACAACTCTTTCCTGAAAAATTTAACAGAACGTTACAGGTGAGCTGTTGAGATGTAATTTTCACAAATATTAACATTTGCACATCAAGTGTACCTTGAAGACCTCAAACGGGCAGAAATCTGCACCATTACAACCCTATTCACAAAAAATGTACCATTAGAATCATATAAATATAGAGTAATTCTTTCCCATATTCTGGGATTAACCATGTTATTACTTGGCTATGGAGGCCATTTCTCATTTGAGCTTAGCTATAACCAGAAAACCAATTAGTTTTTCTCCTTTCCGTGGAAAAAACAAAACAAAAAATCTAAATAAATAAATTAACAAAAAGATAAGTAGAGAATGAGATCAAGAGGAGCATACTGGCATTGGAATGGGGTGTTCATAGTGTAGAACTTGCACAAAGTACTTGCTAGAGGAGTTAGCAGGGCAGCTGTATAAAACCAGCATGTTATTCCCACCAAAAGGTGCCACAGTGCTCCCCCTCCAATTTCTTTTCTGAGGAGGCTTTGGAGGCAGGTCTAGAGGCTCTTCCTTTTGTATTTGTTCAAATTCTGCAACATAACATACATCAAGAACCCACATGGAAACCATGCATGCCATTATGCCTTCTAAGTAATCACAGGAAAAAGGAAAACAAGGATGCATGATAAATGCACTCACCAGATCCTTCGAGGAAAAGCCCAAGCAAACATGAAAAAGGAACCACAGTTTCCGCATGTGCAAAGCGAAGCCTTGCCTTTTCATAACTGCCAGGAGCTTGGTTTTCTAATTGGACAAGAGAAAGCCAGGGATGAGTGTTAGCCATTGTAAGACATCCATTTTGAGGTTCAAGTTCAATTTTTAAGAAATAAATTTACACTGAAGATACACATTGATAAAGCATGCTAATGATGTTAACAAATGACAACAGAACAGAGCTTTCACATTTTCTTTTCCTTCTCTAGATTCAAGAAAGGGTTGAAAAAATTAACATGAAAAAAACTCAATTTGGTTAAGGTGTAGGGTCAAATGATATGATTTGATAGTAGCTAATAAAACTATTGTTGCCATTGCCACTTTGGCAAGTTCCTGAGACAAGACAGAATGGCATCACCCAAACAAGACCACTATGAGAGGCAATTCAAAAACAACCATTTCACTGGGCTCCTCACTGACAAAGAATGGTAGAGAAAAGAAAACAGAATCAGAATTTTATAAACCATGGTACCTTCTTTAGCCTTAATAGCTTGCTCCATGGATCGTAAAATGTCCTCAAGCAATGGAACTCCCATTTGATAGTTTAGAGAATTACCATACCCCTTCAATATAAAGAACTCCACATCATCTGTCCATTCCAGCAAAACAACCTAAATGTACACACACCTTTTGCTGGTTAAAGACAAATAAAGCACAAAGATGCTAACAACTAAAAACGCCTTCATTATAAAAAGAACACACTTCCATCTTTATTTACATGCATCGATGCTGACTAGATTAAAGCTCCAAACTCAGGATGATTATATAGAAGAATCTTAAGATGTTAAATTTACAATAACATGAAATGGTGAGGCATGGAGAATACCTCTGAAGGGCTGAACAGACCACAAGCTTGATCAGTTGTATCCAACAAAGATGCCTCCTGCCATATTGGAACATAATTATACAAATAAATATCGATTGAAGAAGTCAAATGGCAATCAAATTAGGCAATAAGAAGAAAATCCACCTGTTTACACAAAAACCATAGAGAAGATATATCCTGACTTCGGAAATTAAGCTCATATCGCTTCTGCAATGCAGAAGCAATTTCATCAAAGATTGGTTCCTTCAGCTTCTCAACAGCAGGTTCTTGGTTTTTCCTGAAGTCCTGCATTTAAAAATGAGGAATTGTAGAAATAAAATAATCATATTCAAAAGATGAATGTCAATTAACATGTTTGATTTGAATAACTAGGGAGAAACATCATTCTACCTTGTAGTTTTCACAACAGTCATAAAATCTCAGCATTATATCACTTGCACAACTTTCAATTATAACAGCAAAAGCTCGATGACGCCCTGGTCCCAGACTTCCTCTTTCTCTAAAGAGCCCCATGCCAAATGCAACAGCACTAGCAGATGCCCGAGGAACCTAATCATTGAAGAAAAATGAAATAGATATGAGGTTCTAATCACATTGGCATTTCTGTATCACCAATGAAAATAATAATAACAACAATAATAATAATAATAAAAGAAACACAAAAAGGAGGGACAATCCTCACCTGAGTAGCCTTTATGGTATACACATCAGGGTGGTATTCCTCATCAAACAAATCAGGAGATCTTTCTCTAATTCTAATTCCAAGATCGTACAATTCATCTTCTCCTTTACTAATCAATTCTCCACCCTTCAATTTTCCTTTCCAAGGAGATTCCCACTGCCATAACCAGGCAGGGACTTTCTTCGAAGACAGACTGTGTTGCTTGGCATCCCTTAAAAGTTCTTGTATACGAGCAGCCAACTTATCCAACTCTCTCATCCGCCTCTTTGTAGGAGAACGGGTTCCATGCCTTGCCTACAAATTCAAGATAAGATCAACATCTCTTTACCTTTTCAATTTGCAACAACAGAATCACATGGCTGAAACAACAATAGACACAGTGCTAAAAGCAAAATTACCACAAGATTTAAGTGGATACGAGTACATCCATCAGGAATACCAGTAGGAACGAAGGAATTATCAGCAATATCTTTCACTGCACCGTATCTGCACAAAAATTTAAAAATTTACGAAACAAATAATTAAACATCAAGATACTTCTTAGACACAATCAGCTTACTTGAAACACAATGTGGACAAGAACGCATTTGAATTTATCCAGTAATTATTAAATTTTGAATAAAACAGCATACATATCTAAAAAGCTGTCGCAATTGATGAAAATTGTGAATAAAACCAACTCAAATTGATTTTCTCGGCAACCAAACAGGAAATAAACGAACTAAATGCCAGATACAAAAACTAATGTACAACAGATCGAAGCAAGCTTGCGAAACTAATAAGCACACAGAGATGAGGGGAAAGCACCTTGATACGGTGGAGAGGTGTTGCCGGACGTCGAAAGCTTGATCAGCCTCCGAATGAGAGAGTACAGTTAAAAAGAGTAGCGGAAGAACCGCCATGACCAACTTCATAGCTTCTGAGAAGCGATACCGAAACGTTTCAGTAAATAACGTCGCTGAACTGGGAAATGCGAATAGCTTCCGAGTTCCACCGAGACTGCTCCACCACGGTCTCCACGTTCGAAAGAGGAAAGGTGTGGCAAGATCCACTGTTACGCGGTGTTCTGGATTAAAGTACGCTAATCATATTGAATTGAATCGATCATACTGACGTGAATCGAATCAAGGGTTCGTTTTTTGGACGGGTTCTAATGTGGTACAGTAGCGTGTAAATGATGGGACATCAACGACGGAAAAAAGTGCCACGTGGATAAGGACAGCTTCCGCTTGTAACCTTGTGCCTTCGGAAATTGGGATAGGCATGGCCGGTACCTTGCTTTTGGGCCATTCATCGAATCAATCAATCAATCAATTTGCCCAATTTTCGCTTTTGTAAGGAGTACACTGATTTGGATCGTGAACAAGAACAACCCGTCTCGAACAAGTAGCATGAATTTTGAGTTACGGTGGTTTATTTACCGTGAATATCGTATTCGAATCTTATAAATTTTATATTTA